TCTGTGATCTAGTAGAAAGTTTTGTTTTGCTCTTTGATGTAAGCATTCTTGAGTTAAAGCACGACATAGCAATTACAATACTTAAATAGCAAGATTTCCTTAGGTGACAAAATTAAAGTCCAATGTTATGAAAAAAAAATCATTATGGTGGTCTGAACTGACATGATTATTATAATTATTTTAAATGACTGAGTAGTTCTGGTTTTCTTTATTTATGATTACGATTATGATTTTTTTTTGTTTGCTTTCAAAATATCTCTTACCTTTTTTTCTTCATCTGGTTCCTCGTAAATTTTAAACGATATGGTAATAAAGTCCTGGATGACATTCAGCAACTGATCGATCTGAAGACATTCTTTGTCCGTTTTCCCATAGAGATCTGGAAATTTTACAAGTATCAATATTTAGAATACAAAATGAGAACATTAAAGTATTATACATTCAGAGGGCATCATATTAGTCTGAGCCAAGCTAATGATTTGGTAACTATACAAAGATTACTCTGCAAACATCATTTCCACCCAGTTTACCGTTGCTTTGATGACAGTATTGCTACTCTGACATTTATGATACAGACACACAGTCACACGTTTTACTCCCAGTTCATTTTAAAGTCGAACAGAGTAGGCAAAATTTCTAGTTCAATACTGATATATGAAGATAAAGGCATAAAAATCGATAATTGCCTTTCTTTATTTCAAACCACCTGTATAAAATTTCAAGGAGATAACCGTGACAAGCTGATCCATCCTTTACAAAGTTGGCTGGTAAGTATAGAGCGAGCAGCACTTGCAGGAAATCATAGATAGATAGATAGATAGATAGATAGATAGATAGATAGATAGATAGATAGATAGGTAGATAGATAGATAGATAGATAGATAGATAGATAGATAGATAGATAATACATAAAACTGAAGACGTTTTTCCTCCTATCGCAACATCTGTGAGTTGACATACAACCTATTTTTAAAGGCAGCAGAGACAGAGTATGCAACAAAAAGAAATCGGAAACATTACAGAACAAATCCGTCCATCGTATACCTAAAAGCCAGAAGAAATAAGGCTCTGAGTATTCTAAACGACACGGAATCAAATTAAAACGGAACATGAAAGCTGGGTTTCTCATTTTCTCGTTATTGAACAGTCTATACAATAAGGTTGGATCTTACGATCCACAGATTACTCGTTTGAAATCGTGGGAACAAAGTAAAGAGCCAGAAGAATACTGCTGAAAATAGAAGAGGAGGTAAGAATATCAGACAAGAAATCGGGCGAGAAACAATGGAGGTTTATTTTTCTTCTTTCAGTCAGTGTTTTCAGTTTTAGTAAGAGGTTTATTGCATTAGCAACATTTATACTGGTAGGTCATACAAGTGCCTAGGATTAAAGGTATTACATGTACTACAATCGACTCTGCTTGAGTTGAACTCGTTTGAGTTGATCATCGGGTTAAGTTGATCTTTTTCTCAGGTCTCAGCACCTCTAGTCTATTACAGACCCTATCGGTAAAGTTGAACTGCGGATGAGTTGATCTCCCCCCC